TTTTTGAGACGGAGTCTCGCTCTGTCGCCAGGCTGGAGTGCAGTGGCACGATCTCAGATCACAGCAGCCTCCGCCTCCCAGGTTCAAGCGATTCTCCTGCTTAGCCTCCCGCGTAGCTGGGACTCTCCGCGCCCGCCACCACGCCTGGCTAATTTTTTGTATTTTTAGTAAAGATGGGTTTTCACCGTGTTAGCCAGAATGGTCTCTGTCTCCTGACCGCGTGATCCCCCTCCCTCGGTCTCCCAAAGTGCTGGGATTACAGGCGAGAGACACCGCGCCCGGGCAATACTTTACATTTATACCATCAACTCCATCAACTCATGTAGGCCCTGGCTGCCCACAGGGGCTGCCATCCCTTATTTCCTCCTTTATGAAAATCATGGAGTGGCGCTCTTTTAATCTGCACTTGTCTCAGAGAGGGGGTTCCTAAGCTATTTCAAGTGGATTATCTTCGCCGGACGCGGTGGCTCACGCCTGTAATCCCAGCACTTTAGGAGTCTGAGATGGGCGAATCACGATGTCAGGAGATCGAGACCATCCTGGCTAACACGGTGAAACCCCATCTCTACTAAAAATACGAAAATTAGCCGGGCGTGGTGGCGCACACTTACAGTCCCAGCTGCTCAGGAGGCTGAGGGAGGAGAACTGCTTGAACCCACGGGTTGGAGGTTGCAGTGAGCGGAGGAAGTGCCACTGCACTCCAGCCTTGGTGACAGAGCAAGACTCAGTCTCAAAAAAAAAAAAAAAATATATCGGCCGGGTGCGGTGGCTCAAGCCTGTAATCCCAGCACCTTGGGAGGCCGAGGCGGGTGGATCACGAGGTCAAGAGATCGAGACCATCCTGGTCAACATGGTGAAACTCTGTCTCTACTAAAAATACAAAACATTAGCTGGGCATGATGGTGCATGCCTGTAATCCCAGCCCCAGCTACTCAGGAGGCTGAGGCAGGAGAATTGCCTGAACCCAGGAGGCGGAGGTTGCGGTGAGCAGAGATCGCAGCATTGCATTCCAGCCTGGGTAACATGAGTGAAACTCCGTCTCAAAAAAAATAAATAAATAAAAATAAAATAATAATAATATGTATATCTTAAGAATTTACACTTAGCAAATATAAAATATTTCAAAGACAGTAGCTAAGGCAGAATCACACAGATTTTTGGGTTTTATTTTGTCTTCTACAGCTTGTTTCCCAGATTGCGGCTCTATAGATGGCACATATGAGGACATTATTACAGGTAATAGCAAATTCAAAGAGCACCGAAAACCCGAAGACTTTTTTGTAACCCTTTGGAAGTAAAACCTGCCCTGCCTCATTTGGAGGCAAAATCTAAGCTAAGCTTGCATGAAGCCATTTCTAGCCTTTGTGGATGCCGCTTAGTGTCAATATTTATTCATTTCACTCCAGGCCTTCACGGAATGTTAATATGTGCACAGTCACAGGCATTGTGTTATCTATTTTTAAAAAAGATAAGAGATTGTGGACCTGTCAATGTCTTCTGACCTGACTAGTAGCATTTGATAAAGGTAAGTACATACTATCCATTAAGCTAATTTCCCATCTCTAAGACTTTCAGTTTGCTACAGCCAGCCCCTCATATGTCCTTTTAGGGCACCTGTAGGAAGTGATCAGAGCCCTCCAGACAGCTTCCTTCCAAAGGTGTAAACGGGAAGAGCACAGGGAGGTAGGGACTGGCTCACAACTGTCTTTGCATCTTTTTCTCTGCCACCTTTGCTAGGTCTTACAGCTCTTATCTGCCCCAGGGCCTTTGCTCCTGCTATCTAAAATAGTCCTTCCACAAACCATGGCATGGTGTATTTACTCACATGGTTTCAGGTCCCTGTTCATATGTCACCTCCTCAGAGCAGCCTTCCCACAACAGCTGCTCTAAAATAGTCCCACCACACACTAGCCCCTTATCTGAATTCTTTTTTTTTTTCTTTTGAGACAGGGTCTCCCACTGTTGCCCAGGCTGGAATGCAGTGGCATAATCTTGGCTCACTGTAGCCTCAACCTCCCAGGCTCAGGTGATTCTCCCACCTCAGCCTCCCAGGTAGCTGGGCCCACAGGCCCAGGCCACCATGCCCAGCTAAATTTTGTGTGCGTGTGTTTTGTAGAGACAGAGTTTTGCCATGTTGCCCAGGCTGGTCTCAAACTCTTGGGCTCACCCGCCTCAGCCTCCCACAGTGCTGAGATTACAGGCATGAGCCACCGCACCCAGCCTGAATTCTTTTTCTTTATAACACTTTTCACTACCTGACATTACATCTATGTCTTTTACATTTCTGATAACTAATTATTGAATACTTACTAAGTTTCAGGCATTGTTCTAAAACTTTATACTAATTGCCACATTAATCACAACGCTATTAAGTAGGTACTATTAGGGTTTTTTTTACAGATTAGAAAACTGAGGCAAAATGGGTTGAATATTGTGTAAGTCATGTTGCTGTTAAATATCCAGATCTGGGATTCAAACTCCAGGCTGTCTCAACTCTAAAATCACTGCCCTGTATTGCCTTTCTTATTTCCTTATTAAGTTTGTTATTAAGAGAATATTTCTTGGCCAGGCATGGTGGCTTGTGCCTGTATCCCAGCACTTTGGGAGGCCAAGGTGCGTGGATTGCTTGAGCTGAGGAGTTCAAGGCCAGGCTGGGTAACATGGTGAAACACGATCTCCACCAAAAATACAAAAATAGCCAGGCATGATGGTGTGCACCTGTAGTCCCAGCTACTCGGGATGCTGAGGTGGGAGGATCACTGCAGCCCGGGAAATAGAGGCTGCAGTGAGCAGTGATCACACCACTGCACTCCAATGTGGGTGACAGAGCAAGACTCTGTATCAAAAAAAAAAAGAAAAAGAAATAGAAATAGAAAAGAAAAAGAAAAAAGAAAAGAAAAAGGAAGGAAGGAAGGAAGGGAGGGAAGGGAAAATATTTATTCATTGCCACAGTGCCAAAGCCCAGTATGTGACACATAATGTATATCAACAATAGTTTGTTGAATTAATGAAAGCGTGAATTTCAACATTGATGTGATAAACCATTCAATACAGTAAGTCCTCAATTAATGTTATTGTGGATAAGTCCTTGAAAACTGATTTTAAGCAAAACCAGATATTATAACTAAGTAGTTCAGCTTCAAAACAAAATTTTTTTCTTTTCTCCTTTCTTCCCAGCCTAAAGATGTAACTTTGAAACAAACTGTAGAAACCTTTTCTCTTTCGTCTTAAAATATAGCCTTGAAGCATGCTTTGAAACTACACTCCCTTTCATTTCCCACAATGTACTCCCTTACCCAATACACAGTGATCTAACTGTATGCTTCTTAAAAATTCCAGGGGCTAATTTAAAATGAACTAGGCACAAAGACCCAGCTGCAGAATTTTCCCCCACTTAAAGATTGCCTCAAGGTAGTTAATCTGCAGCCTGGCCACAGGCAAGCTGACACCAGCCTGCATTTTAGCTGGAGCATAACTCAAGATAGGTATTGAAGCAAGACTAACAGCCTCTGATCCCTGCACAACTTCTGCACGTCTCCCATCTTGAGCTTCCCTTTTTTAAACCTCTGCCTTCAGCCCAGACTTTTGAAGCAGTTTCCAGAGGTGTAAGCTAGCTATCTCCCCACTGCTAGCTTTGAAAAGTAAAGTAAAATCCCAACACTTTGGGAGGCCTAGGTGGGCAGATCACCTGAGGTCAGGAGTTCAAGACCAGCCTGGCCAACGTGGCTAAACCCCGTCTATATTAAAAATACAAAAAAAAAAAATTCAGCCAGACATGGTGGCATACACCTGTAATCCCAGCTATTTGGGAGGCTCAGGCAGGGAATCGCTTGAACCTGGGAGATGGAGGTCACAGCAAGCTGAGATGGCACCACAGCACTCCAGCCTGGGTAACAAAGTGAGACGCCATCTAAAAAAAAAAATTGCTCCTTGATATGGTTTGGCTGTGTCTTCCCCCAAATCTCATATTGAATCGTTTTCATAATTCCCATGTGTCGTGGGAAGAACCCGTTGGGAAGTAAGAGAATCATGGGGGCAGTTAGCCCATGCTGTTCCTGTGTTAGTGAGTGAGTTATCGGGAGCTCTTATGGGTTTTTAAGGGGCTTTTCCCCTTTTCCTCAGCACTTTTCCTTACTGCCACCATGTGAAGAAGGACATGCTTACTTCACCTTCTGCCAAGATTGTAAGTTTCCTGTGGCTTCCCCAGCCATCCTGAACTGAGTCAATTAAACCGCTTTCCTTTATAAACTACCCAGCCTTGGGTATGCCTTTATTAGCAGCCTGAGAACAGACTAACACAATAAATTGGCACTGCAAAGAGTGGGGTGCTGTCGTAAAGATACCTGAAAATGTGGAAGCGACTTTGGAACTGGGTAACAGGATGAGGTTGGAAAAGTTTGGAGGGTTCAGAAGAAAATAGGAAAATGTGGGGAAGTTTAGAACTTCCTAGAGATTTGAAGGGCTAAGCACACAGGAAGTTGTGGGAAAGTTTGGAGCTTCCTAGAGACTTGTTTGAATGGCTTTGATCAAAATGCTGACAATAATCTGGACAATGTATTCCAGGCTGAGGTGGTCTCAGATGGAGGTGAAGAACTTTTTGGGAACTGCAGTAAAGGTAACTCTTCCTGTGCAGAGAGACTTGTGGCATTTTGCCCCTGCCCTAGAGATTTGTGGAACTTTGAATGTGAGCGAGATGATTTATAAGCATCTGGCAGAAGAAATTTATAAGTGGCAAAGTGTTCAAGGGGAAACAGAGCATAAAAGTTTGGAAAATTTGCAGCCTGATGATGCAATAGAAAAGAAAACCCCATTTCCTGGGAAAAAGTTTGCATATGTAACAAAGAGCTGAATGTTAATCACCAAGACAATGGGGAACATGTCTCCAGGGCATGAGAGAGATCTTTGCAGCAGCCCCCCTCATCACAGGCCCAGAAACCTAGGAGGGACAAATGGTTTCATGGGCCAGGCTTAGGGCTCCCCTGCTGTGTGCAGCCTGGAGACTTGGTGCCTTGCATCCCAGCCACTCCAGCCGTGGCTAGAAGAGGCCAGGGTACAGCTTAGGCTGTGGTTTCAGACGGTGTAAGAATCAAGCCTTGGCATCTTTCACATGGTGTTGAACCTGCAGGTGCACAGAAGTCAAGAACTGAGGTTTGGAAACCTCTGCCCAGATTTCGGAGGATGTATAGAAATGCCTGGATGTCCAGGCAGAATTTTGCTGCAGGGGTGATGCCCTCATGGAGAACCTCTGCTAGGGCAGTGCAGAAGGGAAATGTGGGGTGGGAGCCCCTACGCAGAGATCCCACTGGGGCACTGTCTAAGGGAGCTGGGAGAAGAGGGCCACCATCCTCCAGACCCCAGCATGGTAGGTTCACCGACAGCTTGCATCATGTGCCTGGAAAAGCCACAGACACTCAATGCCAGCACATGAAAGCAGCCAGAAGGGGGACTGGACCCTGCAAAGCCACGGGGCAGAGCTGCCCAAGACCATGGGAACTCACCTCTTGCATCAGCATGACCTGGATGTCAGACATGGAGTCAAAGAAGATCATTTTGGAGCTTTAAGATTTGACTGCTCTGCTGGATTTCAGACTTGCATGGGGCCTGTAGCCCCTTTGTTCTGGCCAATTTCTCCCATTTGGAATGACTAAATTTACCCAATTCCTGTACCCCCATTGTATCTAGGAAGTAACTAACTTGCTTTTGACTTTACAGGCTCATAGACAGAAGGGACTTGCCTTGTTTCAGATGAGACTTTGGACTATGGACTTTTGGGTTAATGCTGGAATGAGTTAAGACTTTGGGGGACTGTTGGAAAGGCATGATTGTGTTTTGAAATGTGAAGACATGAGATTTGGGAAAGGCCAGCAGCAGAATGATACAGTTTGGCTGTGTCCCCACCCAAATCTCATCTAGAATTGTAGTTCTCATAATCCCCACATGTTGCTGGAGGGACCCTATGGGAGGTAGTTGAATCATGGGGGCAGTTACCTCCATGCTGTTCTTGTGATAGTGAGTGAGTTCTCACAAAATCTAATGATTTTATAAGGAGCTTTTCCCCTTTGGCTTGACACTTCTTGCTGCCACCATGTGAAGAAAGACGTTTGCTTCCCCTTTGGCCATGACTGTAAGTTCCCTGAGGTCTCCCCAGCCATGCTAAACTGTGGATAAATTAAACCTCTTTCCTTTATAAATTACCCAGTCTTGATTATGTCTTTATTAGCAGCATGAGAACGAACTAATACACTCCTTATAACCTTCAGGTTCTCCTCAATACCAGCACATAGTTAGTGTATTCAAAAATATACTTGAGCATCTTGTGCCGATGTAAAACAAGCTTCATAGTCTTGTCCTCAGGGATTATACAGTTCAGGGACCTTGTTGTCATTATGTCCAAGGTACTTCGCTAGCACCCTTGATTCCTTCATGCACTCCTTCCCCCTACCCGGGCCAAATAACTGAATTGGCCACAACATGTGCATTATCAGATTTTGAGAGGGACTCTTCCAGTGGTTCTATTGCTCTGTGAGGCTTTCCTAATGTAACAGGACATGGATTAGTTTTCTCATTGACAACCAAAGCCAAGCTGAAGACCAAAAGTCATGAGAATCACACATTCCAAAGAAAAAAAATAAAGTCAGACCCCTTTCCTTATGGGCTTACTAAGAAGCAACTGAATGAAACTTACTGCTAGCAACCACTGCCTCAGCCTGCAGACACACTTCCCTGGATGGAGGCAGAGTCCTAGACATCATCGATCTATGAGAAGCAATGTGTCTGTGTGAGAGCCCTCCAAACAAATATATCCTCCCCCATGGAAGCAGGAGCTCAAAAAGACAAGAAGCCTGAAGAGGTGGAGGGTGCCTCCTCGGTTCCCAGATGAATACTGGGTGGGCTGAGTGGTAGAGGGCTTAACAGTTTCACAATGAATGAAATTTTTTTTCTATGTCTGTCGCTTAAATGTATATTTCCAAATATAAAGGAAAAGAAATACAATGTAACACATTGGCCCTTTGAGTTCAAGTCTAATTTATTTCCAATACATTTTTAGTAATATCAGTTTTTAAAAGTGACATAATGAGAACGCTATTTTAATACAGGTGGTCTATAGTATGTAGCTGCAGATTTTAAAATGCTGGTTTTCAGACAAAACCAATTAGTTGGTTACTGTCAGCAAATGCATCAGCTGTTTAACCGAAAGTCTCTAATATCGTTTTTAAGATAAATACATTAGATACAGTAAAATTTGACAAATGCAAACAGCCATGGAGCCACCGCCAAAATCAAGATATAGAATTCCATGATCCAAAAAAATTCCTTTGTGCTGCCCTTCTGTACTCAGCTCCGCTCTCCACCCTCAGTGCCCCGGCAACCACTGATTTGTTTTCTGTTCCTCTTCTTCTGCCAAAAATGTCATATACATGGAATCACGTAGGATGTAGCCTCTTAAGTCTGGATTTATTTTCACATAGATTAATGCATTTGAGATTCTTCCATGTTCTTACTTGTATCAGTGGTTTAAGCACCGAATAGTATTCTGTTGTATGGACGATTACAGTTTGTTTATCCATTCACTAGTTAAAGGACATTGGGGTTACTTCCAATTTAGGGTGATTATTGATAAAATATGTAGGAGTAGGATTGTTCGGTGAATGCTTAACATACGTCTATTTGAAAAATGCTATTTTCTCAAAATGGCTGTACCATTTTGCATTTCCACCAGAAATACATCTGAATTTTAGTTTTGTCCCACAATCTCTTAAGCCATTCTAATGTCATTCTAATAGGTGTGTAGCAGCATCTCACTGTAATTTAAATTTGCATTTTCCTAAGACAAATGATCACCACTTCATGTACTTACTTGCCATCTGAATATCTTCCTTGGTTAAGTGTCTATTCAAACTGTTTCCCATTTTATATTGCAGAATTGTTTTGTTTTGGTTTTGGTTGTTTGTTTTGAGACAATGTGTCACTCTGTTACCCAGGCTGGAGTGCAGTGGTGCATGAGCAATTTCAGCTCACTGTAACCTCCGCCTCCTGGGTTCAAGAGATTCTCTTACCTCAACCTCCCAAGTAGCTGGGATTTTTTGTATTTTTAGTAGAGACAGAGTTCACCATGTTGGCCTGGCTGGCCTTGAACTCCTGACCTCAAGGGATCCACCTGCCTTGGCCTCCCAAAGTGCTGGAATTACAGGTGTTAGCCACTGTGCCTGGCCTGTATTGAGTTCTTTGTTTTTTTTATTGTTGAGTTTTGAAAATTCCTTGTTTTTTTGTTGAGACGGAGTCTCGCTTTGTTGCCCAGGCTGAAGTGTAGTGGCACAATCTCAGTTCACTGCAGCCTCTGCCTCCCAGGTCCAAGTGATTCTCCTGCCTCAGCCTCCTGAGTAGCTGGGACTCAGGTGTATGCCACTACGCCAAGCTAATTTTTTGTATTTTTAGTAGAGACGGGGTTTTGCCATGGTGGTCAGGATGGTCTCGATCTCCTGACCTCTTGATCCGCCTGCCTCAGCCTCCCAAAGAGGTGGGATTACAGGCATGAGCCACCGCACCTGGCTTTGAAAATTCTTTATATATTGTTGATACAAGTTTTTTTGTCGGACATGTGGTTTACAAGTATTTTCTAACGTCTGTGGCTTGCCTTTTTATTCACTTAGAAGTGTCTTCTACAGAACAGAATAGTTAAAATTTGGGTTAGCCCAACTTGTGTGGGGGCCTAAAGAACATTAGTGAGGGGAAATTTACTGGGGAGGGTTTCAGTTAAGGCACCTAGTCATTCACTTTGTGTGTGAGAAGTGGCCCAAGATAAGAATATACATTAAACCCAGGGACAGGAACAAAGGGTTTGGCTGGTTGGTCAGGGGCTTGGAAGGAGACAGCTTGGAAGATCAGAGAGGAGGATGTCTGGGGAAAAGCATGCGGTTGAGCCTATGAGTGGGACTGGAGTGGGAATCTCTTTGTACTACATGTTCACACCCAACAGAAAACATCCACTATAGAGAAGGCACAAGATAACCAAGCAGAGAAAATGACCTGGCCAGTTGCTGTCAGGCAGCCCTTGCAATCTGCCACCCCCAAGTTGGCACACTGGGTTCAGGACTGAATGGTTTCTGCAGCAGCAATGGAAGCTACGCATGAACCCCACACCATAGATTCCCACTTACCAAGGCCACATGTCCAACCTGCCAGCAGTGAGACCCAAGTTCAGTTCCCGATACAGCATATTCCTCAAGGAGACCAATCGGATACTTGGTGACAAGTTGATTTATCTTTAATCAAATATATTCTGGGCATATGTCTGCTTTTCTGCCCACCCTCCAGTATGGGAGGGTGTTTCACCAGAATGTTTATATTATGAACCTGAAATCTGTGTAATGTTGCTTCAGAACAAGAGACCCCATTCACATCAATGAGAGGTGGCCCAAGATGAGAATATACTTTAAACCCAGGGATAGTAACAAAGAGTTTGTGGCTGGGTAGTCAGGGGCTTGGAAGGAGACAGTTTGGAAGGTCATGACAAGACCACAGGGGATCCTTGTTGTCTCCTTTTTTCTTCTCATTCTAGATCCCCTTGCCCTCAGCCAACACCTCTACTGCTCAGTGGACACGTGACCATAGGTGTCCATAGGACCTCTCACATACTATAGAATCCGGAAGTGGCTGACCAGGGAGAGTGATACAATGATCTTCTGAAGGTGTAATTACATGCCAGTTTGAAGATGATACTCTGCCCAGAGAGGACCCTGAATTAATGACTATATGCTACAATGTCCCTGATCAGTGGGCTCTCTATGAGACAGGGAACCAACGGGTGAAAGTTAGATTGGCCCCACTTGCTTAGTTAGGAGTGACCAACTTGGAGACCCCTTCTTGTCCCCTCAGTCCTAGGCTTTGGGCCTCTAGAGATCCTAGTTGTCAAAGACAAGTGCTTCCACTATGAGGTTTATTATTAGTCCCATTAAACTTTCAGCCACAAATGCAGTCCAGTTACTAAGGGCTCCTTAGTAGGGAAACAATTAACACACCTAAGGGTAATTGAACTTACTCATAGGAAGGAAATACACTTATTTTATACAATTGAGTCAGGAAAGAATAAGTTAAACACCGGAGATATCTATTGTGGGTATCTCTTATTACCCCTGACAAAAATTTTTGGCTTGGCCAAACTTTAGTCAGGCTCCTAAGACTTCTCCTAGGCCCATCTGTGCACTTCCTTGTAAAATCCAGTTTTAGCAAAGTACCTGCCAAGTCTGTTTAGCAAGAAGTCCCCACTCTCAATATCCGATCAACCTGGAAAATCCGACCAACCTGGAGAGCTGATCCTGATCAATCTGATCAACCTGGAAAGCTGATCCTGTTCCTCATCTTCGACTTTCTCCCCAGGTGATGTCTGATCATCCTGCCCTGTCTTCAGCAAGAATCCTGTTCGGTTGGTTGAACCAGAGTCCCCCTAACCCCTCATGTTTCCTCTAAGTAGTTCCCCTCCACTGAGCCCCACCCTGCTCCTTAGCTATAAATTCCCACTTGCCCATGCTGCATTTGGAGTTGAGCCCAATCTCTCTGCCTTAATGCAAAATCTGATTGCAGTGGTTCCTATGCCTCTCTCAATGGTCCCGAATTAAGTCTGCCTGACCGTGCTTTAATAAATGTCATTGAATAATTTTTTCTTTAACACTCCCCTGTTCAGTGTTGATGGTAAATGGATAAGTGTAACTGCCAAAGTCTGAGAAGGGCCTGGTGACAAGGGACTCAGACCACCAGGGGGACAAGAGTCTGCATCACCCTGCAAGGTGAGCCACCTAGAGCAGCAGAGGTGTTGGCTAAGGACAAGGGGGATCTAGAATGAGAAGTAGAAAGGAGACAGTGAGGATCAGATGGGCCTTGCCATGAGCTGCAGGGGTGGCAAATGTAGTTCGTTCCACTAACCTTCCTCTTATAAGATTTTCCAGGAAATGAGACCAATTAGAATGCTAGAAGAGTTGTTGCCATATGGGGTGAATCTATAAAGCATGTGGATCTGTGTGGTGTAAGCACTGGCTGTGTTGGCTGCTGGCTGTGGCATGCAACCCACATTACCACATCTGCCAGGACAGAGCCATCCATATTTTTAGCCAGAAAGTGTTGAGATGTCAAGGACCCATAGCTGAATGCCTCTCTAGGAATTGCCCTTGGGAGAAGGAAGTTGTCTAACTCAAGTTATACCCCTGCCACAGGGCCAGTCCACATCCAATAACTAGTCAGTGGATTTAGGGCCCTCAAGGCCCTTGCATTATTTTGGGACAACTTTGAAGAGTCATTTCAGCTTCAGAGACCTTCCAGGGATTGGTGGGGGCCTCCATTGCTATCACATTATTTTTCCCTCTGCCCAATTCTGGGCTTTCTTCACTTCCTTATGAGTGTTGTTGCTGACAATTACCAGTGAATCTCCTATCTCCAAATCTCCATCAGATTTCCTGGGAAACCCCATCTAAGCCACCTACATACGTCTGCTCCCATTAGTTGAGTTAGCTGGTGCTTACCAGCCTCTTATACTTATTATTGTAATTATTATAATTGTATTAAATATAACATAAACAAATTAAGTATGCATACAGAAGATGATTTTTGTTTCTATACAAATCAAGAATGATGCTTTGGGAAGACACCACGATGATAAATTGCTAAGAATAGTTTCTGTTTAATTGTCTGTGGCAGTTTCTCATAAAGAAAGACTTGGAGTTGGGGCCAGGCACAGTGGCTCATGCCTGTAATCCCAGCACTTTGGGAGGCTGAGGCAGGCAGATACCTTGAGGTCAGGGGTTCGAGACCATCCTGGCCAACACGGTGACCCAGTCTCTACTAAAAATATAAAAATTAGCCGGGTGTGGTGGTGGCAGGCACCTGTAATCCTAGCTACCCAGGAGGCTGAGGCAGAAAATTGCTTGAACCCGGGAGGTGGAGGTTGCAGTGAGCCAAGATCGTACCACTGCACTCCAGCCTGGGCGACAGAGCGAGACTCCATCTCAAAAAAAAAAAAAAAAGAAAGACTTGAAATTGGAAAGAACAATATGGTGTCTAGGTGTTTAATGTATGCTTCCTGTTTGATTGATGTAGAATTTAGGATGGAATGTAATTTCTTACCTGTAATTATAATTTCTGTTTTTTTATTTTTGAGAAATCTATTACTTTTATAAACATGTTTATTGTAAAAAACTCAAAATAACTTAGCAAATAGAAAATAAAAATTATCTGTAATCCAATAATCCACAGGCAACCTCTATTAACATTTCAATGAATAGCCTTCTTAACATCATTTGTTTAAAATATGAAAAAAGATATACACATACAATGTCAAATAAATGGATGTGTTATACATATAAATAGATACACATTACATCCCATATACATGTATGTATTGCTATATATCATATAATCAAATATGTCAAATAAATGCATTGTATATATTACTATATATAGATATTACACGTTATATAAATATATTTGTATATAAAATACATCAATTTATTTGACATTAGATGCTTATTGCTTTCTTATATTTTTTGTAGCAAGTCTTGTGTCCTCAACTATGAATCTTACTTATTTTCCTCTTCTGAAGCCATGAATATAAACGATACAATACTATTAACTTAAGAAAAACCACTGTATTCTCTGGAAACCACATGAGGCAAATTATATTATATTACTAATGGGATGTATTTTTATTACCTAACTAAAAGAGAATCATAAAATTATTATTTTTTGGATGTTGCAGCTGTAAATCAGTGGTTTAATCATGAAACAGAAAATACCAGATAAAGCTAAGATCTCATATTAGCATTAGGTTCATCAGCAGCAAAGTCATGGAAACCTTTATGAAACTGTTGGTAAAGCAAAAATAAATCAACTTTTTGTATAAATAAAATTATGAGGAGAGATTAACCAAAAATTAAAAAAATAATTTTCCTTCCAATAAAAATCAAACCAACAAATGTTTATGACTGATCTACTCTATGCAAGGCAGTTTTCCTCTAAGTTTCCTTTGTAACTATTCTCAATTAGGTGTGCTTTCAGGACTTTGAATATTCATTTATTTATTTAGAGACAGAGTTTTGCCCTTGTTGCCCCGGCTGGAGTGCAATGGTGTGATCTCGGCTCACCACAACTTTTACCTCCCAGGTTCAAGCAATTTTTGTGCCTCAGCCTCCCGAGTAGCTGGGATTACAGTCATGCGCCACCACACTCGGCTAATTTTTTGTGCTTTTAGCACAGACAGGGTTTCTCCATGTTGGTCAGGCTAGTCTTGAACTCCCAACCTCAGGTAATCAGCTCACCTTGGCCACCCAAGGTGCTGGGATTACAGGCTGAGCCACCGCTCCTGGCCAGGACTTCGAAGTTTTAACCTGAAAAAAGTCAAAGTGGTTTTTCTTAGTCTTTATAATATTGGGACTGAAACATGCAGAAGTAGTAGTAGGAAAAGCTAAATGCATGTTGCTTACCATTAGTCGTGTCTTCGAAAGCAAAAACTTTGCATTTGGATAGGATCATCTCCAAACACCGAAACTTATCAAACTGTTAACAACAACAAAAAGTAACCTGACCTTTGTGGCACTTCTATAACCTTCACTATTTTCTTTAACTCTCCATGGTCCCCCCATGAAAATGTTTACACTGTGATGTATTTCATAACCCTTCGTGGTGCTTAGAGCTATAGGTTATTTGCTTTGTAAAGTCTATTTCCATTTTAATCTATGGCATGCTTTGCTATCGTTCACATTTCAATTTCCAAGGACTCTTGGCAGTGTCTCTGTGCAATCTTAAAAACTAAAACAGTGGAAAGTAAAAACGGATATTAATCTTGGTTGACAGTAACAATAAGAAGGCAATAAATTGAAAGAGAAACAGAATGGTCTTAGTTTGAGGTAAAATGCACCTAGTTTGAAGCCTGATTCTGGACATTATTAGTTGAGTAATTAGGACAAGTTTAATCTCTCTTAGCCTCAGTTTCTTCTTCTGTAAAAAGGGATGCCTTATTTGGTCAGAGTAAGCATAAGAGATAATGTGTGTCAAAATTGTTATCTAACTGGTGTTTAACAACTGGCAGCTTTTATCAAAGACAAACATAATCAATGAATATCCGGATTCTTTATATTTGTTCTTGCTTATTGTTCGAATAATTTAAACAACTAAGAGGAGATCCTCTATTAAGACATAAACAATTATTTACAACATGTCATCATCATCTATAATATCTATTTCCTCCTAGTCTTTAAGTTGTTACTGTTCTGTAAATCCGCATGAAGAAAGCCTGATGACATCTAGTAATTTGGGTACTATCAACAAGTGTTACAGCCTGTAAGCATTTAGTGCTTAAAATCTACTTGTCTTTTTTTAATAATTATTTTGATGCAGGTACATAAATATGATGGGACCAAACATTTTAAACACTATGTAGCTTTAAAAATCTTCTCTAGGAAATATAATCTTCCTCAGTAGCAGCAACCCGATAGAACTTAATTTTGTCACTAATCCTATCTCAGGATCGTTCTGTTAACTTGTAATCATTTAAGTAATACACTATCTTTCACTTACAGCTCAGCCTCTAGCACTTCCTCTTTTCCTTGCTCTTCTCCCAGATGTCATGGGGATCAATGGAGGTTAGTGGTTGAGATCAGCTTACATGATTTCTTGATTGGGAGGGAGAAGGGGACATACAATAAAGACACTCCAGGTATCAATCCATTAAGAAGCCAATAAGCATCTTTAGTCTCCGTGGCCCCAGGATTTACAATACCCATGTTTCCCAGAACAATAATTTAAAGACAGAAAGTTATTTATTTTACCAAAGTATTTTTGGGGTGGAGGGGGAGGGTGGAAATCTCTTCTAATTCAATAAACCAGTTTACTTATTTAAAGTGAATCATTTTCTTTTTTTGTCCATGAGGCATTTTATTTGTAAATATATATATTACATCCCTAGAAAAAGAATCCCAGGATTTTCCCTCCTGTGTGTTTTTGTCTTGCTTCTTCACGGTCCCTGATGCCAGCTGAGGTTGTCAGTGCAATGAAACCAAACTGGCGGGATGGAAGCAGATTATTCTGCCATTTTTCTAGAGCTTTGAGTTGCACATCAAATCTGGGGCTGATCACGCCACACTTGTTTAGCCTGCCTGTGAGGTTCACAACAATTTTCCCAGCTCTGTAATCATCAATGATTTCAAATTCACCAACGTAACCATGCTTCATCATCACAGTGAGAAACCGGAAGATGACTTTGGAGCACAGCCTAATCACCTGGCGTTTGCCTCTTTTTCCGGCATTATTGATGCTCTTGAGAGCTTCAGCCAGGACATTCATGTGCACTACTGTGGCGGCGCCGAAAGATGGCGGAAAGAGAAAGTGAATAATTTTTTTTTTTTT